CTATTGTTGTCGATAATGACTCAATCTCTTGACTTCTCTTGATTTTTTTTATGGTAGGGTAAACTCGTTAGAGATGGCCATACGGGAGAGATGGCCAATCGAATTATTTTTGGCATGCACAGCAAGATAGCGCTACATTGCGATCTGTACGCTTCGAGCCACGCTTAGGATCAAAGTGCGACGACGTTGCTGCGAGTATTTATGTTAAAAAGTAAGTAAATAAAGTTTTATTTTACAAGGTGTTGCAAATATTATATAGTGTAGTCATATATTGTCGTGCACTACTATTTTGTATTACAATTTTTAGTTTTTTCTTAGTTTTTTATATTTATGAGATTTTAACGTCTATTCTAATATCAGAATGGCGTCCGCTGATGTTTAAATAAACCTAAAATTTGATGTGGCCATCTCACCCATACAAAAAGGAGAGATGGCCACATCAACTCAGGGTGAGATAGCCATATTATTTTTGCTATTTATATTGATATTAATGCGTCTTATATTTTGTTACAGATGCCAAATAAGCATCAGAGAAAAACCATAGCCATTCGTGGCTATTGGAGTGTAGGTTCATTAAAAGTTGCTATAAATTCCATTAAAAATGGAGAATTATCGGTGTATAGAGCAGTCTCCAACATATCTCATAAAACACTTGAAAGAAGGTATAAGACGAATAATGATAAACAGGAACCAATGGGACCTACCTCTATGCTTGGAGATCAGAATGAAAAAAGTTGCTGATCTTAATAAAACAATGCAGGGAAAAGGATTCCCTTCGACAATTAATGATGTAAGAGTGATTAGCCTTTCAGTTTGCTGAGCAAACATAAATTCAATAAATCAGAGGAAAAGGATGAGGAATGGATATGATTGGCTGCAGATGTTTTTGATCCATATATTGTTTTGAGAAAGTGTAAAGGAGTTTCAATAGCCCGTTGCTTTCGCTTACTTTGATTTGTTAGAAAAAGTTCTTCTAGATAATGATTTAAGGCATATTAGCGAAAGCATTTTTGATCTTAGTGAACCAGTGTTGTGTGATACATCAGACGACGAATGTAAAGAAAACGAAGCAGATAACTATGCTGGATGCGGAGAAAATTATTATAAAACTCGTTTTGTGGAAGATTGGTTCCAGTGTCTTATTTGTGACAGATAGGTACATGAAAACTGTACCAAGTTTAATGATATGTGTTCCAAATGTGGACAGAAGACAAAAAAGAAGCTAAAGATGCTGAAATCCAGGGCAAGGGAAAGGGAAAACGGAAGTCAAGTACCGGTCATCTATCCCGTACAGCTACGGCCAACTCACCCTGAAGCCCTGGGAGAGATGGCCAATTCTATTTTTTTTTATTGATTTATAATATGTTTTTGAATTATAAAAATAAATATTTGCCGTTTTTTTTTAAAAGACTAATTACTGTTAATTATGATAAGAATATAAGACTGATTGTAACAACACTTTTTCTTAGTTTTATTTTGCTTAGATAAAACTATGGCCATCTCTAACGAGTTTACCCTATAAGCCGGTAATCGAGCAGACGGATCACCTGATGGTAAGCTATCGCCGTCGCCCATGGATAGCTGGAATATCAGACGCGTTACAAGTGCGTTACCGGCCTTTCGGGGATTAGGAGTTTGAGGATCGTTGGGGTTTAATTGATTGGGGAGATTTGAGAAGGGGAGAGGGTAATTGGGCCTCCAGTAACCTCACTTACACGATGAAACACAACGCAAGCGATGCTTCACGTCGATTTTCTGTGAGGTGGTATCACTCCGGTCGAGCCGGCCCATTCGTGCCGAAGCATGGCCCTCCCACACTATTTCTAAACCTTATCTAATTATTATGTTTCATCTATTTTTCAACAAAGAGTTTTACTTCCAGTACACTAGAAAGATATAAAATCTCATGTCTTTTCTACAGAACATCAAAGCAATACAACAAACGCTCATTACGTGACTCCTATTATAAAACTAATGTCATAGAAAAATGCACTCTATCCACTGCACATAGAAGATTGAATTTCGATAAACCGACATTTACAAAGGGTAAGTGTTAGATATGAATTGTCTCATTATAGACTGGTATAGAAAAATGCACCCTGCGCTTTATATGAAGAAGATTGAAATTCGATAAACGGTATTGCGAAGTCGGTCAATAAAACATCCACACATATGTCATACTATGGTTGAAGGAATTATATTTTCTTCTCAATACATAAAGAAACTTAAATAATAATAATAAGGTATTTGTTTCAGGCAAAGTCCATCGAAAGTTGGTGTTACTTAGAAATTACTTACAAACTAGTGTTAGTACTGATCACCCTTTGTACAAATATTTTTATTATTAGAGAGTGCAAACTCTCCGCTACGGCTCCCTGGATGCTGTTTTGACTGTGTCTCAACCTTCTTAAACTATCAAACACCAAGCGGTCACCGGTGACCGCAACCTATTGTTCTATAATTGTGTCTACAAAACCGGTACTCGACGAGTTAATAGTGACGCTGTTTTTTTCCACAGTAGATTTAGTTAACGGTAAATAAATTAAATGTTCTAGCGTATACGCTAGAACATTTAATATACGTGGTCTATAGACCAAAAAGAACATATATGTGGTCTATAGACCACATATATGTATCTAAACATAGTGTTAAACCAAATCAAAGTGGAACCACAATATACGCAAATTGACACTCAAACTAGGGTGACCAATGCATGGGTTATGTTGGGTCACCACTTGATAATGAAGTACTGAAGATCGAACGCGGTACTTCTATTAAATAGGCCTATGTCTAGCAAAGTATGAGAACAGACTAAAGTTGGCCAACTAATGGAGACGGATGGTCACAATGGCTCAACTAAATACTCTATCTCACAAGAAAAAGAAAAAGTAACCAAAGAGTTTTGTTTTTGCTTTTTTTAACATAGGAATCTACACTTGCGAACAAGCAAATAGTTTCTTCACTAAACGACTGACCGACGGGCTTATTTTTGTCGTTTTTGGCTGTCCAAACTGCCTTCAATGGTCTAATTGAAATAAATGCTTTTAAACAATTGTTTAACAATTTTGCAATTAATCCCGTATAGATACGATGCCTTATACTTTTCCTAATTGTGATTTAATAAATTCGGTCAACCATAATTCGTGTCAACAGAAAGTCGGGAGTCTCTCAGCCTATTAATTCTTGTGTAACATTAATTAATTGTATGTTTACACCATTATTTAAGAAATATTACTAACAAAGTGCGACTTTAAAAGATTAATTTACTCCAGTGATTTACAGAGTCCACCGTTAATATACTTTCAAAATAAGAATAGGGACGTGTGTTCGCTTTTTAATTTTCTTTATGGCCAGTTGGAATGGCTTTTTTATAAGCGTGTGCGGAACTTTTTGGTGTAATTAAGAGGTGTTTTTTTCTTCGTAGAAGTTAGAGATACGTCGCGGTCGCTTCGTGCCAGTTATTACAAATGGCGCGCAATTTGTCACGTACAGTTTGTTCCAAGTTTGTTTTTTGAACTAATTTTCTTAGTATCCGACTAGATAGTTTGTTATTTGATATCAATTATCTTCGTCACATAATTTTTTCTGGGTTTTAATTAGTTACTAGAATTACGAGCCTAAAAATCAATGATTTTAGTTACCTATATCTGTATTTAAGAAATACACTTCTCAATTTTAATGTAACCTTACAACAATTTCTATTATAACCGTAAAATTATTTTCAGAAAAGTTTCCTTATTGGAACCCTTTCATAAAATGCAATAAAATCCAAGTTTATTTCAAAAATTTCACGCTTATTTCAAAAATTAATACTATTAGGTACCAGAGTTAAAACTAATTTTGAACTAAATATCTATCCTAAAACTAGACAAAGCGAAACCTACTTCATTAATTAAATGGATAATATTACCCAGAACACAACGATCACCAAAAAGCATTGACTCTACTCAATAAAACAAAAATCTAGGCAAAGAGGAATTGGGGAAAATATAAAAAGAATATGGCAGCCAATATTAATGTTCGTACCATGTAGGTTCAATATCACCATAACTTATTAGGTCAATCGTGTGTGCGAAATTGAAAGAAAAAGGTCCTTCGTTAATTAACCCACATCTTCGGTTTTATATCTGCGCTCTTTTATTATCTGTGGTTGTAAGTTACGCGGGAAAATTAAGTGGGAACAAATGCTTTATTTGACGTCGTTAACATTATCTACTACATTCTATAATAATTTGAGAGGGTATATAAAATATTTAAGTCAGTATCGTTTAATTTTCTCTCTTCATGACGTATTTTATTAAACAAAAAATATTTTAATTTGGCATTTTTAATGATAAAAAAGTAAATTATGAATTAAGTATTTTGTATTTTTACCCACTGTCTATTTTACTTTCAGTAACCTTTATTGACTTTTTTATTTTATTTATGTTGCATTGTGCCTTGTGCTGAATAAATTCTTTCCTTCTTCATTTTCTTCTCATAAATCAGGATCTAGGAAACAATATTGGCTTGAAATTATGTATACAATTTATGTTCTGAGTTTATAATCATTTTAATAATTTTCTCGTAGATCAACAACTCCGATATTTAAACGATACTCAAGTGGAACAATTTTCTCCGAACATTTAAAGTTTATTTATTTTTTCAAACGATAGACAGAAAAAATGTTCCTTAATAAATACACAAAACGTGAGAATAAATAAAACATCGTTTATAATTTAAATAAAATAAAACACTAAATAAAAGAAACAACAATTTTTTCCATTCAAAATTTTGTTTGACATTTGTTAGACATCAACAACTTTGTCTTGTAGACTTCCTAATCCTCGAAAAAAATATGTCACTTCTCTATGTCTTACAAGATTTTTCATAGTGTCAATCTACATGAATAACTGTCGCAAAATCCAGTCTCGTTACATTACTATTCCAATTTCTATAACCCATTTTGTCAGCGTCAAATTATTTAGAATCCACAAAAATAAAAAAGATCTAATACTTACTTAAATCGAAATGTCATTCATGAAGCAAAACACTCATTAACACAAATTATTACGAACAAACAAACACTGTTTTGACACTATTGTAAAATTATCTTGTCACTTTTGTTAACGTGAAAACTTTCGCGCGGTAAACTTGGCAAGGAGCGACGTAGGGACGTCCGCACTGGTCGCGTGTCGCGCGAGAACTGGCCCAGTGAATTTTCACACCCACGGACTTTTCATTTGGATCACGCGCTGAGGGCGGGAAAGCCGTGTTCGAGATTCGAATGTTCAGTTGTCTATGACGTGTAAGTACGTAGGGTGAGCTAATTATTGGTCCAAGGAGTTAATACGTCGTCACTTCACTGTCTCGTTGAAAACAACGAGTTTGTCTGTGATGTTTTTCTTTGTAAACGAATCGCTGTCTGTCACAGTTAAATAGAGTGCTGAAATAAACACATACGTCCATTTCAAAGAAAATGTACAATAAAATATTCCGTAACAATGTCTGTAATATATGTAGTTGTTTGCATGTTTTTCACTGATAGAGTAAAATTCACGACTCCGACTAAAGCCAAAGGCACCTGCTGAATAAAAGATAATCAACGCAAATAGACATGAACATCCAGCTATAAGTCATCCTGCGGACGGCGAGCACGGGTGACTCGCCGCCCGACCAGAACCAGACAAGAGCGATCCTCAAGAAGCCATCAGACCTACCACCATGGATGGGCCCAAAAGGGCTGATGCCGATACGGAGTCGCGGAAGACTTAACAGGTTGCCGGGGCTCCGGCTCGAAGTGCAGGAGTAGAAACGGAGTGGTTTTTAGTTAGTAAGAGTCTTATACTCCCTGTCGCCTCACCCAGACGGGAGAATGAATTGGATGAATTTCCCCCTCAAAAAAAAAGTTATAAGTCATTAAAAACATGACCAAATTCCCAGGGCCCTCTTAGCCTACGCTGGGGGCCTTGGGCACACAAAACTTCGGGGCCCTTCTGCAATGTTTATTTTTTTTAACGTTGCCCCGCACTGGGATTTTGTCCTATGTCACGGATGCGTTTAAAAACATACAAATTCACATACACATCACACTCAGACCCGAAACAACAATTTATGGACCACACAAAGAGTTGCTCCGTGCGGGAAACGAACCCGCTACACCGGTTGCCGCACAACGTGCAGCAGGTCTGTGTCCGTCATAGAAATAGATTGAAATTGTCATCAAAGGACTGATCCTTCGGGGCCCCCTGAGGATGGGGGCCGTAGGCACGGGCCCTGAGTGCCCTTATAGTAAAGGCGGTAATACACTTAGAAAGAAAGAAAGAAAGAAAAATAATTTATTCGCCATGGACATATACATGGACCACCGAAAATTAAAAAACATATACATTAAAACACAAAAATAAATATATGTCGCGTCTTGGGTGGCCGAATTGCGAAGCATCGGGTCTTCATCATGATCCGACATGGTAATCGCTACACGTGGGCACTATATGGTTACTCGAGCGAAAGACGACTTTGATTTAAAATTAATTTATTCCAACAATAAATATTGTTCGGTTTACAACTTCAGAAACAGACACGTGCGTTGGTACCGGGCGTTCGCCAAGACGGTCTCAACTAGACTGATCCAACGATCGATTCTCCCTCCGTCCTCGCCACATCCCTTCTCTACCGACGATCGTATCCAAGCGGTGGGGCGCGCTTGCGTTTCTGATCACGTGATTGTTAGTTTATGAATCAATTCGTTAGATGGCGCTGTACGTTGCACCGTAGCGCCATCTATCCACGACACGGCCATCCCTGGCTAGCACCCGTCCTCGGGTGTGGTATCTGTGGACAAAATACGCTCTGAGGATACACTAGCTCGGCTATCCTGCCAATACAAAAGAAGGTGGCTAATTCTCATCACATTTTATTTCCTCTAACTCTACGTACATACAATAATAATCAATTCCCTGTTGTCAGGGTTTTCTACATAGTGTGTACAACATTACTTATTCAAAGAGGCCCGATCGACAAGTCAAACAAAGCAAAATCATCACCACAATTCTGAACTAAATTTCAAGGCCAGTGTATACTCAACTCGTCATAACCCATGCACCAACATAGGTCAGAGTCGCACCAACGACTCTTTACAGACTCTCTGCCAAATGTGCTACAACACATGAGGCACTCTGTGCACCAACACAGATCAGAATCGCACCAACGATTCTCAAAACATCCTGCGCAATATGTGCTACAACACATGAAGCGCTCTGTGCACCAACACAGACAGAAATCGCACCAACGATTTCTCAGACCCATCGCCACATGTTACTCATGAGGTGCGGTCTCTAGTTTCGACCCATCGTCCCATGTTACTCATGAGATGCGGTCTACAGTTTTAGAGTATGAGTATACATGCCATTTTTAATCGGAATTGGTTTCACTACCACCGTCATCAACTATTACGTCTAATTCTCGGGGCACTTGGTGATCGGGGATCTTTCTTACACGATCATGGGGGTATTTGTACGTTCGCTTAGAGTCAAGTGCCTTTAGTAGATATCTATCCCCGTCTAACACATCAATGATCTTAAATGGACCTTTAAATTTAGGGTCTAATTTAGTCTGATTTCTTTCCTCATTTTCAATCAAAACATAATCATTAATGGCTAACTTAGACACTTTAGCCTTATTTTGATCAAATCGATTTTTGTCATACACAGAATTTCTCTCAATATTTTGCGTCGCGTGCTCTCTGACTTCGTCCAAGTTAACGCCCATCTCGTCATCATTAGCGGACATTAGACTAAGCGGTCGTGCTACCCTTCCTACCATTAATTCGAGGGGACTGTATTTAGTTACCCTATTAATAGTGGAGTTCATAGCCAGCTGAACCTCTCCTAATGCGTCCTGCCAAGATCGATCACGACTAGTCTCTACAGCTGTCAGCATACCCTTGAGGGTACTCATCACTCTCTCGACTTGACCGTTCGCACGACTGCCTCCAGTAGCTATTAAGTGCAACTCAATATTGTTAGCAGTACAGAAACTAGAAAAATCTTTGCTCGCGAAACAACGACCCTGGTCTGCTATTATCCGTTTCGGTGCACCAAACAAAGCTATGCAAGACTTAATGGCACAAATACTACTGTTCGTGTCAATATGGAGTGAGTGACGAAGCAATACAAATTTGGTAAACGCATCTATGATGACAAACACGTACTCCTTAATGTCGTTCTTACCCGATAGTTTGCCAGAAGCATCGACATGAATGGTATGCCATGGAACGTTGAACTTGGGAATTGGGTGAAGTTCTGCCTGAACTTTGCCTGAGTGGGACTTGGCTACCTTGCAGGTGATACAATTATCCACAAATTTCCTAACGTATTTCGACATGCCGCTGAACCAATAGTGCTCGTAGATCTTTTCGAGCGTTTTCTCCCATCCTAAATGCATAACCGACTCATGGATGTTATTAATTACAGACCACCTGAGAGCTCTAGGTACAATAGGCAGACATCGAGTACGACCATTACGTTGAACTTTACGAAACAAAATGTTTTTACGAATTTCGTAAGTTTTGCGAGTTTCCTCAGGAAAAACTTCATTACGCAGATCAGACACTATCTTACAGATCTCTTCGTCCTTTTCCTGTTCGGCTTGCAACCAGTTACTCGAAAGTTCAGCTAAATTGACGCGTTTTTGTTCTACCCGAGTGATAACTACCTTGGATGTAGGGAGAGGATTTCTGGAAAGGAAATCTACGTGGCTCATCCTACTGCCTTCGCGATAAATAATGTCAAACTCAAATGACTGCATGTAAGCCCACCAACGATGAACTCGCGGAGACAAATCAGTTTTATTTTTGGAAGCTTTAACAGCACTGCAGTCTGTCACAACGGTAAACTTACGACCTAGCAAATAATGTCTAAAATGCTTAATAGCATTAAAGACGGCTAAAGTTTCCAGTTCGAATGAATGATACTTCGATTCGGCTGGGGACGTACGACGACTATAATAAGCAACCACATGTTGTTTTCCATTAATCTTTTGAATAAAAATGGCACCATACCCTTCAGCACTGGCATCGGTATGTAACTCAATAGCATGCGCAGGGTCAAATATTGTTAAAACTGGCTCAGTAGTCAAATAAGAAATTATTTTCTGTCGAATGGCCTCGTGGCTGGGTTCCCAACTGATAGACCTATTCTTGCCACTTGTCAACCGAAACAGAGGAGCCATAATTTTCGAGAACTGTGGAACAAATTGTCTGAAATAAGTGGCCAGACCTATGAACTGTCTCAGCTGAGTGATGGTTTTAGGTGGGGGAAGTTGGGACAAAGCTACAATTTTATTAGGGTTGGGTCTAATTTGGCCATTTTCAATAACAAAGCCCAAATATTCAACTCGTCGCTTAAGAAATGAACATTTTGCGAAATTCAGAGAGAAACCAGCGTTTGTCAATTTATCGAGAACAGTGCGAAGACGCACCAAACTCTCCTCCACAGACGACCCTATCAATAGAATGTCATCAACATATGCGACAGCATAGCTATGAGCAAGGTCACCTAATGCTTTCGTCACTGCTCGCTGATATACTGAGCTTGCATTCTTCAAACCGAACGGCATGGTCAAATATTCCCACTGACCGTCAGGTGTGACAAATGCAGTTCGCTCTATTGACTCAGGATGAACTGGGATCTGATGATAACCTGATAGCATATCAAGGCATGTGAACCATGTAGCACCTCCTAACCTAGACAAGAGATCCTCTATCAATGGCAGTGGAAACCTATCCGACACTGTGTTGTCATTCAGCTCCCTGTAGTCGACGCACATACGATCCGAACCATCCTTCTTTTTAACGAGCAGCACTGGACTGGAAAACGGCGAACAACTCGGCCTAATTATACCTGCTTCCTCCAACTCACGAACTTTGGAAGCAACTACTTCGCGTTCACTAGCACTAAGCCTATAAGGGCGACGGTTAACTGTACGACTAGGGTCTATAAGCCTTATTTGCAACTGTCCTGTTGTAACACGGGATGTAGAAACACCACTAGAAAACGAAGATGCATATTCTAATAAAAGATCAATTAATTGGGAACGGAACTCTCTCGGAACGTCTGTATTAACTTGGCCGAAATCAATTTGACAATGAGAATCACTCTTGTGTTTATTTGAGACATCACATAACCTAACAATTTTTTTACGACACAAAACAACACTATCAGATGACATACTAACGTTAAATCCCTGATCTAAAATCTCGCGCCCAATTAAAATA